TAAATGCAGCAGCAGGAATGGCCAGCACACGCTCTTTTTCCCAGGAAATCTCCACAGGGGATACCTTTAGAAAAAATAACTTCCTTTTCTGACCTAACCTAGTCAGTGCCTTCACACTGTTGTAAAACCTGAGAATTATGAGTTTTTCTGGCCAGATTAAAAAAGACTTTGTAGAAAGTAAGCTAAAAACATGGAAAACAGGAGCAAAAAGCGGAAGAACAAAAACAAAGCCAAGAGGAGAAAACGGGCCATTAAGGAAAAGAAAGGAAACAATGGGAAATGCTAAACAAGCCCCTAAAACAACAAACAAACAAAAAAAACCAGTGGACTACCTGGGGCACAGAACACCCCCCGGCCAGCAGCCAGAGCAGAGGAAGGAGAGCTCCAGACCTCAGAGGGGTCCATCCCGCACTCCAGAATCGGCAGATGCCCTCCCCCAGAGGACCCAACGACAGAGGAGACCACATCTCAGCGACACAGCAGTTCAGACCAGGTGCTGTTTTTTGACGGCGCTGTGCGTAGATTGTGTCCATGGAAGGGAGTTCCGTTGTGATAATCCTCTCTGCAGTCTTTATGACTCTTTGCAGAGCCTTCCTCTCTGTCTGTGTGGTGTTTCCGTACCAGACAGTGATGCCTGTGGTGAGGACGCTCTCTATCAGTCCTTTGTAGACCTGGGCGAGAGGGCGACAGTGCAGACCAGGTTTTCTGAGCAGCCTGATGAAATACAGTCTCTGTTGGGCTTTTTTCACTGTGGCAGCAGTGTTCAAAGTCCAGTTCAGATCTGATGTTACTTGTAGTCCCAGGAATCTATAACTGTCAGCCCTCTCCACCTCAGTCCCCTTGATGATGAGGGGCTGCAGGGGGGGTGGATTTTTTCTGAAGTCCATGATTACTTCTCTTGTCTTGTCTGTGTTGAGGCTTAGGTCGTTGGATGTTCATTAATTATTCCAGACAGATCTCAAATGTTGTGTTTGTGTAGCATGCACAGTTCTTTACTTTACTTTACGCAAGCCAACCAAATGCATTGGGCTCTTTTCTTTTTTCTTCCTCAAGGTGCTTTGTTGAAGAACAACAACAACAGCAGCGGCAGCAGCAGCAGACCTCTACACATCAAAGCAGGAACTTATTTTGTGTCCTTTTTAAAGTTAAGATTACAGTGACTTGCTCTCCCATTTAAAATATATCGTGGGATCTATCTGATTTCACATGACAACACAAATATTTTTCTTAATGTTGTAATGATGTTCGGAGGTGCTTAGATATGGAAGACATAGTGGCTGCACTTGCAGAAGCCAAGGCCCGCAAAGCAGCAATTTTAGGAAGCAAAAGGCACTACTATTGGACTGTGGATACAGGACCGAGGTGTCACAGCAAGTCTAAAGTTTTACCTTTCCACTTTAATTCCTTGTTTGTTTGTTTTTGCTTGGTTGTGTTTTTCTATCATTCTGAAAAATCTGCACATCAAAGTTATGTTTCTTTTTCTGTTATTTGTGTATTGTACGCAAAGTTTGCATTTAGATAGTAATGTTATTATTGATTTTATATGTTATTGTTTAATAGAAGATGTCTTTACTGATCCGTAGTCCTGGACGTCATTCATCGTGATTCTGGGGGGACAGCATGGTCCTTCTTCTGTGTAACTATGCTAAGACAATGTCGGACACCGTAGTTTTCTCTGGACCCCTCCCCAATGTGACCAGTGATGACATGTATAGCCGCATGTCGTCATTCCACCGCTGGCTGTCGAGGTGGTGTCCAGCAAACGATGTGGGCTTCATTGATAACTGGAAGCCTTTTTGGGGAAAACCTGGTCTGATTAGGGAGAGACGGCATCCATCCCACTTTGGATGGAGCGGCTCTCTTATCTAGAAATATGGCGAAGTTTATCTCTAAAACCTGACAGTCCAGAGTTAGGACCAGGAAGCAGAGCTGCTGTCTTACACACTCCTCTGCGCTTTCTTTAGAACAGTCACCCACCCAAAACCCCATAGAGACTGTGTCTGTCCCCCGACCACCTAAACTATTTAAAGAAATAAAAACAAGAGGAGTTCAACATAAAAATCTAATAAAAATTAAAACCAACTCCTCAGTAGCACAAAATAAGAGAATGAAATGTGGGCTGTTAAATATCAGGTCTCTGTCCTCTAAAGCTGTTCTAGTGAATGAATTAATATCAGATTATGATATTGATTTACTTTGTCTTACTGAGACCTGGTTGTCCCACGAGGAGTATGTTAGCCTAAATGAATCCACCCCCCCCGTCATATTAATACTCACATTCCTCGAGGCACAGGCCGAGGAGGTGGAGTAGCAGCTATATATGATTCGAGCGTTTTAATGGACCCTAAACCTAAACTAAATTATAATTCATTTGAAAGCCTTGTTCTTAGTCTTTCTCACCCAAACTGGAAAACACTGCAGCCAGTTCTATTTGTTATAGTGTACCGCGCTCCTGGACCGTACTCTGACTTTATATCTGAATTTTCAGAGTTTCTATCAAGCTTAGTCCTTAAATCAGATAAAGTAATTATTGTAGGTGATTTTAATATTCATGTGGATGTTGACAATGACAGCCTTAGTAATGCATTTATATCATTAATAGACTCAATTGGCTTCTGTCAGAGTGTAAATAAACCAACTCATTGTTTTAATCACACTCTTGACCTTGTTTTATCATATGGCATTGATATTGAACATTTAATAGTCTTCCCACATAATCCTTTCCTATCTGACCATTATTTAGTAACTTTTGAATTCATACTATTAGATTATAAGCCATTAGGCAAAACTTCCTACAGCAGATGTCTATCTGACAGTGCTGTAGCTAAATTTAAGGAGGAGATTCCTTCAGTGTTTAATTCAATGCCATGTCTGAATTTAACAGAGTCCTATAACAACTTTAGTCCCTCTGAAATTGATAATCTTGTCGATAGTGCTACAGGCTCACTACGATCAACATTAGACTCTATCGCTCCTATAAAAAGGAAATTATTAAAATATAGGAGACTAGCACCTTGGTATAACCACCAAACCCGCCAGTTAAAGCAAATAGCTAGGAAATCTGAAAGGAAATGGCGCTCTTCCAAATTATCAGAATATCGCTCAAATTGGCAAGATGATCTTAAGATTTATAGAAAGGCCCTCCGTAATGCCAGAGGAGCCTATTACTCAGCACTAATAGAAGAAAATAAGAACAACCCTAGGTTCCTCTTCAGCACTGTAGCCAGGCTGACAGAGAGTCACAGCTCTATCGAGCCACATATCCCCATAAACTTAAGTAGCAATGACTTCATGAGCTTCTTCTATAATAAAATTATTACTATTAGAGAAAAAATTAATCACCAACTGCCATCAACAGTTATCAGTGGCTCTCCAAGTTCAGGGACTTCTGTCAATGTAAACTTAGATGTATATTTAGACTGTTTTTCTGCTATCGATCTTCATCAGTTAACTTCAATCATTTCTTCATCGAAGCCATCAACCTGTCTGTTAGACCCGATCCCAACTAGGCTGCTTAAAGAAGTTGTTCCCTTAATTGGCACTTCTTTACTGGATATGATTAATCTTTCTTTATTATCAGGATATGTACCACAGTCCTTTAAAGTAGCTGTAATTAAACCCCTTCTTAAAAAGTCTACTCTTGACCCAGGGGTTTTAGCCAACTATAGACCGATTTCTAACCTCCCGTTCCTCTCTAAGATTCTGGAGAAAGTAGTCGCCAAAGAGTTGTGTGACTTTCTACATAACAATAGTTTATTTGAGGATTTTCAGTCAGGATTTAGAGTTCATCATAGCACAGAGACAGCTCTGGTTAAAGTTAATAATGACCTTCTGACTGCTTCTGACAATGGACTTGTCTCTGTACTTGTATTATTAGATCTTAGTGCTGCATTTGACACCATTGACCATGATATTCTTTTACAGAGACTTGAGCATCAAATTGGCATTAAAGGAACTGCCCTAACCTGGTTTAAGTCATACTTATCAGATCGTACTCAGTTTGTACATGTTAACGATGAATCCTCCATAAATACTAAAGTTAGTCATGGAGTTCCACAAGGTTCTGTACTTGGACCAATACTATTTACTTTATATATGCTCCCTTTAGGCAACATTATTAGGAATCACTCCATTAACTTTCACTGTTATGCAGATGATACGCAGTTATATCTATCAATCAAACCCAATGAAATTAATCAATTATCTAAATTACAAACATGTCTTAAGGACATGAAATCCTGGATGACCTGCAATTTTCTGATGTTAAACTCAGAAAAAACCGAAATTCTTGTTCTTGGCCCCAAAAACCTTAGAGACTCATTGTCTAAAGATATAGTCACTCTAGATGGCATTAACTTGGCCTCTAGCACCACTGTCAGGAATCTTGGAGTTCTCTTTGATCAGGATTTGTCATTTAACTCCCACATAAAGCAGACCTCTAGGACTGCCTTCTTTCATTTACGTAATATTAGAAAAATTAGACACATACTATCACAGACAGATGCAGAAAAACTAATCCATGCATTTGTTACTTCAAGGCTGGATTACTGCAACTCTTTATTATCAGGTTGCCCCAATAAGTCCATTAAAACGCTCCAATTAATTCAGAACGCTGCAGCACGAGTACTGACAGGAACTAGAAAAAGAGATCACATCTCTCCTGTACTAGCTACTCTGCATTGGCTCCCTATAAAATGTAGAATTGAATTTAAAATACTCCTCCTCACCTATAAAGCTCTTCATGGTCAGGCCCCTTCATATCTTAAAGAGCTCATAGTACCCTATTACCCCACTAGAACACTACGTTCTCTGAATGCTGGGCTACTTGTGGTTCCTATAGTCTCTAAAAGTAGAACAGGAGCCAGAGCCTTCAGTTACCAAGCTCCTCTCCTGTGGAACCGGCTTCCAGTTGTGGTTCGGGAGGCAGACACCCTCACCACTTTCAAGAGTAGGCTTAAGACATTCCTCTTTGATAAAGCTTATAGTTAGGGCTGGATCAGATGAGTCCTGAACCATCCCTTAGTTATGCTGCTATAGGCCTAGACTATCGGGGATTTCCCATGGTGCACTGAGCTACTCTCTTCCTCTCTCTTTCTGCACTCATTCATGTCCCTTTAATGCATGTTACTAACTCCACTTCTTCCCCGGAGTTCTTGTGCTTTCTCGTCTCGCAGGTTCTCATGGATCCTGGTGGAGCCTCCTGCCATGGTCCTGCTTGACTGCCATTGCCAATACTGTTGTTGCTGTGCACCTGTCTGTCTGTCTGTCGCTCTCTCTCTCTCTCTCTCTCTCTCTCTCTCTCACCCCAACTGGTCGAGACAGACGACCACCCACCTAGAGCCGGAGGATCTGTCCTAGGTTTCTGCCTTTTAACAGGCAGTTTTTCCTTGCCCTTGTCGCCAAGTGCTTGCTCATGGTGGTACTGTTGGGTCTCTGTAATTAATGTTAAAGAGTTCGGTCTAGACCTGCTCTATTTGAAAAGTGTCCTGAGATAACTTCTGTTATGAATTGGCGCTATACAAATAAAATTGAATTGAATTGAAATTGAATTCTTGCCTAGGGCCCCCAGGGGGGCTAGAAACGCCCCTGTATCTCCAACGGGTGGGAGGAGCTAGAGTTTGCACCAATCGTTGCTGTCTGACGCTATGTCTATTTGCATAGAATTCCCATCAGCCCCCTGTGCTCCTCAGAATAAGAAAATACAGGACCCGAACACGGCTCTGGACGGCTCAGTTTGTGTCTAGATGGGTCACCGTAGGTACAGAACTCACGGTACGACACACAGACTCCTCATTATTGTTGTTACCGGCGGTCTGAGAGCCGTTTAGAAGCGGTTTAAGCCTTTTTAGCTGTGTCTGAGTGGAACCACGAGGCAACACTCTGCCGCCACAGACTCCCTATGAATAGCTCACAGAGACTGGGTGTAATCGTGTTACTCCGGTAGCACATATACTAAAATTGGAACGATACAGAGAAGATTAGCATGGCCCCTGCGCGAAACTAACCCGCCCGTGGAGACGACGTGGGCTTGGGCCTCCTTCTCCACCTCCTCCGGCTTCTTGACCCTCGCAGCGGCGGCCCCGCGTGGCCCCTTGGCGGCGATGTAGGCCACCGCCTCACCAGAGGCCCGCAGGAGAAGCTGCTGCGAGGCTGTAAATTGCAGCTTTGCAAAAACCATTTCTACAATGACAAGAAATGAGACAGCACAGCATTAAAGGAGCATTACAGGTTAAACTACATATTAACTGCTATATTACCAGGAATATCACACATAAGATTAATGATATACTGGTACTTCACATTCACTATTGAAACATTACCGTTAACAAACTAACATCACGTGACACAACAGGTAAATAATGAGCCCAGGGTTAGCCCCCTATGCATTGGCAGCCATTAAACAAACAGGCTTATTGTTAATGAATAAAACATACACTTAAACTTTATCTTTTGATTTCACCTGGTGATATTATAACCTTAAGGCTCTAAGGACATTAACTGTACTGTCTTTTCATACTTTAATTTTGTTTTCAGAGATCGTCACATGTTGTAATTATACTGTAGCATCCTAGCTACAGCTACGTTACATTACATTACATAATGGCGATCTCTCAAAATGTATTAAATCTTTAAACAGATTATGTGCTACAGCGAAAAGGCAGCTTATATATTATACAGTAATCAGTTAGCAGTGAAACAGCGAGCCAATGTAACGTTAGCGTAAGTTAGCACTGCCGCCGATGTCATTACCGATCAGTGAAATGTGTTTAAAATAGTATTCCCATACTGTGTTTACTTGTTGAGACCTAGGATATTGTACTGCTATTGTGTGGAGTTGATATTTAAAGTTTAACTGTGCTATGCGTTAGCATATAAATCGCTATTAGCATGCTAAGCGTTGGAAATGAATGAGCATTTAGCCACTGCTGTGATGAGCTGACGATCTCTGGAAACGCTTTAAAAACGTGATGAGACAACTTGGCTCAC